CCGGAAAGCGCGATGGGGCCGCGCTGCGCTCGCCGCCCCAGGACTTGAGAAAGAAAACAGGAAACGTGGTGCCGCGCACCCGGCGCGGCTGATTCATTGCTCCGAGCGCCCTGCGGGACGCTCGGCGGGGCCTCGGAGCTGAGGACCGGCGGGGTCGGGGCGGCCTCCGGAGCGGGCATCCCCAGCATCCGACCCGAGCGCCGCGCCATAGGCGCACCGGCTGCCGGCGCCGTCCCGGAAAAGTTGGCGCGTGTCGCGCTTCGCGCCCTCCGGCAGGCCGAGAGTGAACGCCAAGCTGGATAACCCGCGCCTCGCCGACGCAGGCATCCCCGCGAGCACAGCCTCGGCCCCCGCCGCGCTGCCGCCGCCGGGCTGGGCAATATGAAGGAGCAGCCCTCATGTGCGGGCACCGGGCACCCGAGCATGGCGGGGTACGGCAGAATGGCCCCTTTTGAACTCGCCAGCGGCCCCGCGAAGCGCTTGAGGACTGAGCCCCCCTTTCCCTGTCTCTTCGCAGAGGAGGCCTACCAGAAACTGGCCAGCGAGACCCTGGAGGAGCTGGACTGGTGTCTGGACCAGCTAGAGACCTTGCAGACTAGGCACTCCGTCAGTGAGATGGCCTCGAACAAGGTAAGCCCCCGCCTGCTGTCCCGGTGCCCCTTGCTGCCCATCCCCGCAATGGGGAGGCGCCAGGCCCGGTGGCCAGGGAAATACCTAGAGATCGGTCACATTTACTGCATATTAGCTGGTTTGCTCCCTAGAAGGGAGGTTCTTATTTCCATGCCTTCCTTCTCTCTCCCACTCACTATAGATAAATCAAACATTTTGCAAAAGCAACTTTGACACAGTTTGATTGAGTAGCCCCAAGACACAGGGCTGTTAAGTGACACTTTGCCTTTGCAGCAGAAATCCAGTAGGGTCAGTTGGCAGTGCGTATTTATAGGTATTCTTGGGATTCCCGGGTGGAAATAAGAGTTGCTGCGCGTCAGTGAAATCAGTTGGAGGCCGCCACCTACTGCCTTCAAACTCAGAAGAGTTTACTGAACTTGGAAGCTTCCCTCCCGGTTATCTAGTTGTCTAGGTGGCCTGCAAGAGCCGATCCTTTAGATATCACACGTCCACGGGAACGTGAATGAAGTTGGAAGGTTCACCGTGATCGTTACCTTTGTTTCCTTCAGAATTAGAAGGCAAGCCCAGAGCCTGAGGTCACTTAGTTACCATGAGGCTTTGGCTGGGCATTTGTGTCATAGGTGCTAAGGTGCTGGTCTTGGCAATTAATGGGGCTTGGGGACTGAGAAATAACCTTCAGTCTGAGGCAGCCTTGAAATAGCCTGGAGACAAGGTACTGTCTTACTTGTGCTGTATTTTTTTGAAATTCCTGTTCTTTTTGTGTTTAGTTGTGCAAGGGAATAATGGGGATTTTGTGTGCTTTTAATGACTGGCTGGCTGAGGGGACAGGAAAGGAAGCATGACCATGTTGGATGCAGATGGTGGGGGGAGTTAGTTCAGCTAGTAAGGACCGGTCGTGACTGTAATAGTTGCCTCTAAAAGGTACTTGTTTGGGGCCACCTATTTCCAAGGTCAAGAAGATTGTGCCATTTTACTGTTTATGTGTACATGGCTTTCAATGAGTGATACCTTTTTTAAATGCTTGCTGTAATTTTTATCTCACCTGTTTCTTTCTCTTGCAGTTTTTACTAAAAAGCCATAGCATTGAGCCACTAGCTTATCACTTCTGTTAACATTGCTTATATAGATAGCATTGTTATTTAAAGGGAAAGTTGGCTTCAAATAAATAAAAGGAGTTCCCCTACACCCTGCCTGCAGGTAACTTACCTACCCATGAGCACATTGACCTACCCAGGTACATAGGATGATCAGATTCCTGTGGCTTGTTTTGTCATTTGGAACTCATTTCTAAATTTGGCAGAGTTCCTCATTAAAATGAGGGGATATTGCTTTCTTATTGGGACTCTTCCTCTCCCCTTGGGTAGAAGAACCTCATTGAGTCTCATTAGACTCAATTATTTTTTTTTTATAAAATGTTAGTCGTTTTTCATAATTTGATTTATAGTAGCAGTCCACATACGCTGCTATCTCCAGTGTCCTAAATATTCAGTGAAACTGCTCTGCAGTGGACCTGAGTTCTCAGTTGCCTAGTTGATTTTTTGTCATAAAAGGCAGAGCAGAATCTGAAGGCATCTAGCAAAATACACACATTTGTTAACATTTTCAAGATGATTTGACAATACTTTTTCAGCGAAATGCACCTCAATTGCTACTCCATACGCTTAGTGTGAAAATTAATGTGCATTCTAACATTGTATTGTTAAGTGACTTCATCTGTGAAGTAGTTTATCTGTACTTTAAGATGAAAACATTTCAAGTCACAATAATTCCTCAAAATGATATCTTTCTTTCACGGCACTAAATAAGTGGGAGATTTTTTTTAAAAAAATCTTCATGGTGTAGGTTCCAAATTAAAATTTGAGTTAATTCACAGGGTTAGTAGGGGAAATGGGTTTATTTGGTTGAAGTGAAACAGGTAGAGTGAGAAGTGCTTTTTCAAAATGTGGTCATTCTAGCTGTGTTTCTGTGACTTGTGGTTGAAAGATGATTGACATTACACTTTTGAAAATGAAGCCTAGCACAGCTGGAGCTGCTGCTTCAACTTAATATCTAGGCCATTCATTTCTTCTTCAGTTCATTCATTTGGAAATTAGTGTTGTGCTCACATGATGTTTTCCAGATGAAAAAGGATTAGCCTAGAAAGAAAAACTCTTGGTGAGGGATGTAAAGGTACCCTTCTGCTTGATAACAAGGGCACAAATAAACCACATCCACAAGAGCTATGACCTGAGTTGGAGCAGCTGATGAGAAGGTCTCTGTGAGTGGCACTCTGCCTTCTGTCTGGACTAGAAATACACACAGCTTGATTTACGTCGTCGGCTCAATTGTTTGATGTGTCTTTAGTATGAATGAATAAATCTGAAACACTGGTTTTTGGTTGTTAGTCTTACTGGCACTCATTCTCTCACTGTTCTGTTTTGGCCTTTAAAAAAGTAGGACCCCCTCTCTGCGTTTCTCGTGGTTTTTAAAATTTTACTCCTAAAAGATTAAAAAAATATTGAATGAATTAACAAGTTACATGAATTTTAAAAAAATCTTAACAAGGAAAACTAAAACATTAGTTAAAAACGGTGTTAGAAGCAACGTGCTGTAGTTTCTGTACTGGCATTGTAGTGTACCTAGTGCTTGTTGATGGTGTAGAAGCAGGAAAAACTATTGAAATTTTGGGTAAGGCAGGGTTAGCTGAAACACATGTAGGATACTTGTACCGACTAGGGTAAGAGATTCCAGATGGCATTTAATTTGAGTGATTACATCTACAGCATTTACCCTGATAAGCACACTGATCTGCCTGAGATTTGTGCAGATATCCTTTGGAACCTCATTGCTACAATCGAGAGCAGTTTTAGTGGGGTCTTAAAAGCTTGGAGACGTGCAGACCTGAAAGTTCAGTCATGGTTTTATTCTACTTCTTCCTGGAATAAAAAAATGACTTAAGCTTTTTTAGTTTCAGTCTCCTTGGCAAAATGTGGGTGTAAGGTTAACGTGAGAGTTTCCAAAAAATATGTATAGAGTAATTAGCTAGAACAGTATCTGACAAGAATAGGCCCTGTACCTTTATTATTTGGGGTTTAGGTAAAACTTTATTGATTGTCTCTTTGGCTAAAATGGTTTTTTGTTTGTTTTTACTATTTAGATGTAATTTATGATAGACATTTTAAATTTCATGAAGTATAATTCTTAGGTAACTGTTCTTAGATAACTGATAGAATATTTTGAAGTTTTAGTTAGAAGTTTAGTGTTTTCTTAAATTTACTTTAAATTTTCTTAAATTTAGAATTCCAGGCAGACAAACTAAATACATTTTAAAAAATTTTAGTATAAAACTGAAAGACAGCCCTTATTAACCTTTAAAATATGTGCAACATCATGAGCACTTTTCCATCCTTGTGTATAAATCTTGAAAACTTAAGTACATGTTTAGTAAAGTACTTTTTAATGCAGAGTGGTTTCATAGTGTTTTCACTTTTCTGTCATGGAAAGTATATAAGGGTGGGAGGGAATGGCTAGGAGGGCAGGACAGAGGTCCAGACATCAGGTCTTTCAAAGCCTTTATGCCTTGGAACCCTGTAATTTAATTCTTTTGTACATTTCACCAGGCCTTTGTAAGTGCAGTGATGTTTGGAGAAAAAATCATTTTGAGTTCTCCCTAAAATACAACATCATGAGAGAAATGTATTTTGTTTCTACTCTAATTTGGGGGCCAGTTCTGAATCTTGGCATTACTGGAAACTATTGGCTTTCAAGCTAAAAGTCTGTCCTGAAGTTAGGATTCAGGCGTCCTTCTGAGACATGTAAGGTTTTTCTGTAGTCCATTTTAGAGAGGTACGTAGGCCAGTTTTGCAAATGTGATTGTGACTTCTTTTATTCTATCTCATTTTTAATTCATTTCTTTATTTGTTTTTGGTACGGGGAATCGAACTCAGGACTTTGTGCTTACCAGGCAGGCTCTGTGCAACTGAGCTATATCCCTCCTGGCCCTATCTCCTGTTTTTGACAAATACCTTTAGCATGTTTCTGTTGCCTATACTTGAAAGGTGTTTTTTTGGGTTGCTTTTCCTTGGTACTTTTCTGGCTGCTCCCCCTGCTGCTTTGGGATGGATGGTCAGTGTGTAATGTAGACAAGCACTTTGTGTGATGCTGATCAATTTTTTTCCAGGCACGAAAGGTGCTTGAAGGAATCAGGGATGTTCGTGGAAGTGGCTTAATATTACGGTATCATAGCACTGCACAAACACAAGAAAATTTAGAAAAGAAGCAAATGCTGAATTTTGCTAAGAAGAAAGGTGGGAAAAACAGTACACGGTAAAAATAGCAACAGTTGTAAAATTTTAAAATACTGTATTTAAAACTTAGAAAAGAGAGTTATTGAGTTAATGCATGCGAAGTAAAACTTTTAAATTTTAAAAACGTGTCTTTTATAATATAGAAACTTAACTTTTTAATGATTTAAGTTGGATGTCTTTCATGTAGTGAATAAAAATAGATTTGGGAAAGATTTATGAAGCTCACATATAGTGCCTTAAAATGAATATGAAGGAAATGAGTCCTTGTTTTTATAAGTACTATTAGAAAAAAAATGCTTTCTTTGCTTTTAATAATAGAAAGAGGGAAATGCTCTCAATAAAAATTCCGTTTCACTGAATAGTAAGACCTTGACTTTACTTGAGCGAGATACTAAGGTGTAAACAACATTGTCTCCATTGCTATCAGTGAGTTCCTATGTCAGTATTCAGTATCAGGAGACTTCAATATCCCTGGTCCTAACATTTAATGATCTAAAACCTCTCATTTTTATGATTAGTAAAACCATTCTTTACTAGAAAAATCGCTTTCATTTATTGATTTATGGGAGAATGGTAAGTCCTGTTCAAAAGCATTTTGAACTACCTTTTTAAAAAATTTCAAAATTTGAGGTTTAGTTATGATGAAATAACTTTTATCAATGTTAGAAATAGAATAAATAATCTATTTTTCCCCAAACACAGCAAGACAATAGA